GGACAACATGTCCATCCTGGGCCTCCTCCAGTGCCACAACGATGCCACCCAAAGGCTGGAGGAACAGCACCTCGTATTCCGCTTGGGAACCTTGCAGCCCAATGGTCTCAATGGGGACTTCACAAGCTTCAAAATCTCCTCATCTCAAGACCAGCCCATCTTATCCCCGCCTCCTTAACTTGTCCGTCTTTTCTCCCACCTATCTGCTCCTGCCACCTCACTGACCAACCCCCACCCCCACTTCCTACTACGAGCCTCATCCCCACCTCCTTGACCTGTCCGAGTTCTCTCCACCTATCTGCTCCTCTATCCACCTTCTATCATTGCCTCCCCTTCTGTCTATTTATTGCAGAGGCCCCTTCTCCTCCACCATTTCTGAAGAAGGGTCCAGACCTGAAACGTCAGCTTTCCTACTCCTCTGATGCTGCCTAGCCTGCTGTGTTCATCCAGCTCTACGCCTTGTTATCCAGTTCACCAATGTCCTTTAGGGAAGGAAACTGCCATCCTTACCCAGTCTGGCCTACATGTGACTCTAAGCTCACAGCAATGTGGTTGACTCTTAAATGCCCTCTGGGCAGTAAGGGCTGGCCCAGAATGAATTTAAAAAAAGAGACTCTTGAGCACAAATCCTGTGGAGGAAATCCCAGTACACAGCCAGAGAGAGAGAGAGAGAGAGAGAGACATCCTCACAATGGGACATCAAATCCCACGTCTGTACTGCATTTCCAGTTTGATGTAACATCCCTGACAGCTACTGTTTAGTAAGGTCAAGACCAGAATTAGGTCCCATCAATACAAACTGTTTCCCAATGAATCTCATGAAGGGTCAGTGAAGGGAAACCACGAGACATAGGAGCAGAAGGAAGCCATTCAGCCCATCGAGTCTGCCCTGCTATTCAATGAGACTGTGGCTGATTTGATAATCCTCAACTCCACTTACCTGCCTTTTCCCCTAAGCCCTTGATTCCTTTCCTGATTAAAAATGTCTATATCTCAGCCTTGAATGTACTTAATGACCCAGCCTCAGTACCCCTCTGTAGTAAAGAATTCCACAGAATCACTACCATCTGAGAGAAAAAAATTCCTCCTCATCTCTTAAATGTGCAACTCCTTGTTCTGAGATTATGTCATCAGGTCCTAGACTCTCCCACAAGGGGAAACAATGTTTCAGCATTTATCTTGTCAAGCCCCCTAAGTATCCTGTGTGTATTAATAGGATCTCCCCTCATTCCTCTAAACTCTGTTGACTAGGCACAACATACTCAACCTCTCGTTATAAGACAATCCCTCCATACCTGGTGTACATCCTCTGGACTGCCTCCAGTGCCACTCTCTCCTTAGATGAGGGGAGCAAACTTATTCATAATATTCCAGTTGTTGTCTATCTGGTGCCTTGTATAGCTTTAGGACCTCACTTCTTTTAGCTCAGTTCATCTGAACTGTTGGTTTGCGATGCAGTGCAATGCCAACAGGGCAGGTTCAATTCCTGCACCAACTAAGATTATCATGAAGGTCTGGCCTTCTCAGCGTTTCCCCTCAGGCATGGTGACCCTCAGGTTAAACCACCACCAGTCACTTCACTCTAATGAGACAGCAGCCCTTGGCGCCCATAACTTTGTTATTTTTATACTCTCTTCCCTTTGAAACAAAGGCCAACTTTCCAATTCCCTTCCCTATTGCGAAATGAATTTGGATGTTAGCTTTTTGTGATTCATGCATGAGGACTCCCAAATCCCTCAGCGCTGCTGTTTTCTGCAGTCTCCCTCCATTTAAATATTCAGCTCCTGTATTGTCCTTGCCAAAGTGCATAACCTCACATTTTCTCACATGACATTCCATCTGCCAAGTTTTTGCCAATTCATTTATCCTGTCTATATCCCTGTGCAGACTCTCTGTGTCAGCTTCACCCACTCGCCTTCCCACTTATTTTTGTATCACTCGCAAACTTGGCTTCAGGAAGTCCACCTTCCTCATCCAAGTCGTTGATGTGATAATTGTGGGCCCAGCACTGATTCCTGTGTCACTCCGCCAGTTACCGGTTGCCATCCAGAAAATGTGCCCCTTATCCCAACTTTCTGTCTTTGGTTAGCCAATGCTCTAAACATATAACATACTCCCCCAACACCATGGGCTTTGATCTGATTAAATAACACTCTTGGGATCATGAAACTGGGAGGCTCGAATGGAACATATACCCTGGGATGCTGTTCGAATTCAGTAAGTAATTGCAACTTGCATTCACTGACCGTCTAAATGCTCTCACATTAGTAGTTGGATTTATTGCCTTGATCCTACATCACAACAGTGGCTTCATTTCAAACTCTGAATCTCAGAAAGTCTATCCACCATTGTTAACACACAAGTCAGGAGTATGATGGAATACTCCCCACTTGCCTGGATGGATGCAGCTCCAACAATACTCAAGAAGTTTGACATCATCTAGGATCTAAAGCCAATGACTCATATATCCTGTTAAGGGATAAACTATAAAAAACAGACTCCTTGATTGACACTACATCCACAAAACATCCACTCCGTCCACCACCGATGCTCAGACGCAGCAGTATGTATAAGATGCACTGCAGAAATTCCTTAGGCAATACCTTCTAAACCCAGGTTCATATTTTTAATTTAATGTTTTAAGTATAAATTCCAAGATGACAGTGAAGTAGGCCCCTCAGACGGAGCTTGTCCATTCCTTTTCTTCTTTTTCCTCTTTTTTTCTTCCTCTCTCCCATTCCTCGGATGGCATCAGTGGCAGACAGCTGAGCCAGCGTGGACTCAACGGACTCCCAGCCTCAAGATGAGGCCCAGCACAGGCTCCCAGTCTTGAGATGAGGCCCAACACAGGCTCCTGGCCTCAAGATGAGGCCCAGCACAGACTTTCAGCCTCGAGGTGAAGCCCAGCGCAGACTCCCGGCCTTGAGGTGAGGCCCAGTGTAGACTCCCGGCCTCGAGGTGAGGCCCAGTGTAGACTCCCGGCCTCAAGGTGAGACCCAGCACAGACTCCCGGCCTCAAGGTGAGGCCCAGCGTGGACTCCTGGCCTCAAGATGAGGCCCAGCGGAGACTCCCAACTTAGAGGGAAGGCCCAGCACAGACTCCCGGCCTCAAGGTGAGGCCCAGCATGGAATCCTGGCCTTAATGTGTCTCCCAGATTCCCAGCTTTGAGGTGAAGCCCATCATGGATTCCCTGCCTCAGGGTGAGGCCAAGCATGGACTCCCTGTTTTAAAATGACTGTAATGCTGAACTTTTACCTTTATTTCTTTTTTTTTCTAATTTATTACTAAGATTTTGTACCTAGTTATCTCTGCACCTAAGATGGTGCCAAAAATGGTGACTTTATACACTTTTCACTGTACTCCTGTATCCCTGCACTTGAGTACATGAGACAATAAAATCTAATTTTAATTCCACCTAGAAGGATAGGAGCAGCAGGTACATAGGAAAACCACCAAATGTAAGTTCCCCTCCAAGCTACATACCATCCTGACTTAGAAATATATTGCCATTCCTTCACTATCGTTGGGTCAAAATCCTGGAATTGCCTCCCTAAGGGCATTATGGGTCAACCCACAGCAGATGGATGGCAGCAATTCAAGAAGGCAGCTCATCTTCTCAACGGCAACTAGGGTCAGGCAATAAAAATTGGTGGAAACGATAACAGCCTTATCTCAAATACAAATACACAAAATAAGTTGATTAATGATGAGATGTCATGGCTCTGTAAAAGGCACAAAAATAATGGAAGGTTTTCAATTTCTTTGACTGAGACACTCAAAAATTCCTGGACAGGAGTGATGTTGATTAAACTGTTATGATAAGATCAGCATCAGACTGGTTACTGAGTCTGACAGTGTGAGGGAGCTGTATTAACCTCAGTTAATTCCTGGGTGTATTAGAAGGGTCAGTGAGTCTGACAGTTTGAGGGAACTGGCTTAACGTCTGTACAGGAGTTATACAGTGGGTATTTTGAAGTCTTTATCTCTGGTGTTTTCATTGTGTCGAAGGTTGTGATGATGAATCAGCCCCTTTCTATCTAACTCAGGGCAATTTCCCCTCCACTAGTTTCAGCAGAAAGGCCTGGCGACTTGGGTGGTTAAACCCTTAATTTTAATATTAACGTTTTCACTTTAAGTGATTAATCAGGTGGGTTTGAGTCTGAAAAATTCAACGTTGATTTGAATTTATATAGTGCCTTTCCCATCCAGACAACATCCCAAAGCACATTACAGACAAGGAGGTACTTTTGACTTGTAGACACAGTTCCACATAAGGACCAGAGCAACCAGACTGTACACAGCAAATCCCGCAAGCTGCAATATGAGAAGGGCCAGATCACCTGAATTGGATGAAGTTGACTGAGGGTTAAATCCCGCCAGAACTGGCATTTCTCTCTCCTCGTTTCTGAAAGAATGCCGCCCAATCTTTTCTATCCTACTGAGAGCAGCCAACCCTCAGCACCGCACTGTCAATGCTGGCCAGGATTGGTACCTGATACTACTATGGAGTAAATGCCATGAAACATGGCAATATCGATCACCACAGTGTGTGGAGGTAGAGGCTCTGAAATGAACAGTCAGGAAGCATACTTACACACGTTCGTGTAATATCCTGGTCAATATTGCAATGAAATAATGATTAGATGCTCTTAATATGTAGAATTCCTTGCCACAGAGTGCTGTGGAGGTAGAGTTGTGTATTTTTAAAGCTAAGATACATTTAAGACTGAGGCTCATTCGGGGAATCAAGGCTTATAGGGAAAGGGCAGGAAAGTGGGCGTGAGGAATGTTGGATCAGTCATGATCCTATTGAATGGCGAAGCAGGCTCAAGGGGCTGAATGGCCTACCCCGTTCCTATTTCTTATGGTCTTATGTTACACCAACGCTCTGCTCCCTGTTAAAATCGTCAGCTGTCGGTCCTGACATTAAAGGGTGACTGTGATCATTTAGTCCAGTGATTTTGTTATAAATGTGTGTGTGTGTGTTTTTGTGTTTCAGAGAGAGAACGAGAGAGAGAGAGAAAGATGGTGAAACTTGTTGAGATGAAGAAAGATTGTCAAATATGCACCAAGCCGCTGAGAGGCTGAGTATCCGTGAGTGGGAGGACAGGAAATGGCAGAGGCCCTCAGGGGAGCAGGGGGGAAGGAGGACTAGAGCTCACAATGGAGAAAGGATTAATTTAAGCACAGGGATGAAAGGGGAGATTAAACGGCAAACTTTCAAGGAGCCCTGTTTAATGGGAATCAGGGCATCATGCCCTGGGTCAAGGGGACACTCTCCAGCTTGTAACGGGGCAACAGTGACAGCAAATGCTCCCACCCACAGATTCAGTTCACAAACATTCCCGCTCCCATTCCAGCTGGTTCCACTGACAACATCCCCACTCAACTGGAAAAATCGGAACAGGGGAAATGGAAGGTACATGATCTGCAGGGAGGAATTTGACGACTAGTTGCTGCTGTTTGAATTGGAAAAGAGGTCCCAGTGGTGGGGATTGCACAGCATTCTCACAAGGTCTTTGGAGGTTGCCAGGCAACGGGTGTTAGGAGGTACCTTCATTAGAAACATCCAGCTCCCATCCCCATCCCAGAAGAAATCTCAGCCTTTGTTCAACATCTCTCCATCCTCCCACTCATCCTGTCCTCAGCCTCTTCATCTCCCCAAGCTGAGAATGAACAGAAAGGGGAACGTTTCCAGGCTGACTCTCTTACAGGCCTCAGCTCACCTTGCCTTGCTCTTTAGAAATTCCCACCATGTTGTGGAACTCGCCCAGACATGACAGAGCCTTTCTGACCTTTGAACTCTCACCCGCCAGGTGCCAACTCCTCAAGGCAGGGGTCCTCTCCTTGGGAAAAGGCAGGAAATTCCTAGGCTGGTGTCATGGCCTCGGTATATAGACACTAGGGTGTATCAAACACTGTGGAAATCAGGCATAAAACACTAGCTCGTCAGTGACCACACAATTTTCTATGGAGACTTTCTGTGCCTCCTGTTCTCACTTCCATAAGAGGAACCTATTTTCTCATTTGTACTTGGGATGTGGGCATCGTTGGCTGGACCAGCATTTATTGCCAGTCTCTGGTTACCCCTTTGAGAAGGTGGTGGTGAGAATTGCCTTCTTGAACTGCTGCAGTCCGTGTGCTGTGGCTTGGAACCTCAGCGCCTTTGACAAGAGAGTTCCAGGACCCACTTCCATTCTAGAAGGACAGGGCAGAAGATACATAGGAACATCACCCCCTGCAAGTTTGCCTCCATGCTACTCACTGTCTGGACTTGGAAATATATCGCTGTTCCTTCACTGTCAATGGTTCCAAATTCATGATCTTATTGAATGGCGGAGTAGTGTTGAGGGGCTGAATAGCCTACTCCAGTTCTTATTTGTTATGGTCTTATGAAATAAATACCAGTTATGCCCATATCCCGCAAACTAATGTGTTAAACAAAAAATGTCAAACTGCAATTGATCACAGCCAATTGTTGAAAGTAAACATAGTTGGAACATATTTTCTGCCATGTTCAAGGTCTGCATCACCAAGTGACTGTCATGATTAGGGGATTATATCAGGCAGTGGGAGCTCTCTGTTAGCGATGATGAAAACACATTTCATCACTTTCATAACCGTGAGCAAAGCCATAATCGGGAGTTTAAACTATGTTGACAGAAAGTGCATTGCATTACAACAATGACACCATTTACACATCAGCGCATGAACTAAATTCAACATCACATGAGTCACTCACTTTCATTATCCCCAGGGCTCAGGCACAGTGATGTGGACTGCATTGCTACATCAACAAGAATTTGCATTCGTATAGCATCTTCAACATAGTGAAAACTCCAAACGTGTTTAGTCAAACAAAATTTGACACTCAGCCACATAAGGACAGATTAAAAGGTCCGAAGGAACGTATTAAAGGAGAAGAGTGATGTCAAGAGATGGAGGGGATTAACGAGGGAATTTCAGAACTTAAAGCTGAGGCGAGGCCTCCAATGGTGAAACAAGTGCCAGATTTAGAGCAACACAGTGATCTCATCAGGTTGTCAGGCAGTTGGGAGGAGGTTACAGGGCTAAGAATGGGTGAGTCCATGGATGGAAAGGAAAATGGACAATGTGAATTTTATAACAAAAACAGAAAGTGTTGGAGAAACACAGCAGGTCTGGCAGCATCTGGGGAGAGAGATACAGGGTTGATGTTTTGACTCTAAGAACCTTTCTTCAGAGCTGAAAGCGGGCTGGAAAAATGATAATTATAATTTTGCTGACAAAGGTGGAGGAGGAGTGGGTGAAACAGATGGTAGGATGCCCAGAATAAAAGACAAAGGGAGTGTTAATGGTAGGAAAGGAGAAGTTGAGATCTGAAATAGGTGCAAATAGTAGAAACTAGGGCAGCTCTGCCAACTGACACCGAGTTTCGAGTGGGGTGGGGAAGGCGGTGTGGATGAAAGAAATCAGAATGGAGGACACTGAAGAACAGCATGAAAAGTGAAAAGTCCAAACCCTTTCAGGCCATTCAGCCTCTCAAATCTTTTCTGCTATTGATTATCATGCCAAACAGCTCTTGTTTCTGGTCTGAAGCTGGTCATCACTGATTTATTAATTCTGCAGCAAACTCTTAATCAGTGCAATGAATTGGAGAGAGGCAGAAAAATGGGAATGTTCTGGGGCTATGTTTCCCATCTACAGCTCAGCAGAATCAAGGAAGAGTATGTGTATTTGTGTATAAACCTGCATCTTTATGTATGTTTGTAAGTACGAATATGTATATCTGAGATCTCTCTGTGCGTACATATCTACATGTGTCAGATGTAATGCTGTGGGTAGCATCCTTTCCTCTGAGCCATAGATTTGACGTTCCAGTCCAACTCTGGGATTGGGGAGCCATGGGGATGTGATTGTAGTGCGGTGAAGGAGAGTTATTATTGAGCTGTCAGTCTTTCTGCAGCCCCAGTGATTGGGCAGTAAGAGTGCAAAGATCTCATGGTCAGTGAGGTTTGATGATGGGTGGCACTCCCTCAGGCCAAAAGCGAGCATTGAACCAGGGTAACAGTCGTAAGTAAGTGCTTTGTTTGACTCATGGCCTTTGTCACAAGGCTGTATGTTCAAGCCCCACTCCAGATGCTCTGGCACCAGATCTCGGCTGACAATTCTGCCTTTCAGACTGAGCACACCCACCTCTAGTCTCATGAGGATGCAAGTGACCCCAATGGCCCCTGTTTGGAAGAAGTACACGAGAGCTGTGCTCCTCAGCGTTCTGGGCTAAAATTCCTCAAACATCCACTCCAAACAAAGTGGATGCAGCACAGGTGTGGGATCCTGCTGTGCGCCGAGCTAAGTTAAATGCATTACAGCAGTGGCTGCACTAGAGCGGCTCACAGTCTTGACGGAAGTTGCCACAGAAATGCAAGTGCTTTTGGTTGCATCCACACCAGAGGACATCAGTCTCTGCTTCTTTGCTGGTCTGGCACAAGTAAACCTCTTGTGGAATTCCTCTGGTCACAACCTGGGATTTCAGGTTGTTTGCACTTGCTGAGTATTTCTGGTTGGAGTTGGAAGTTCTTGCATTGCTAAGCTGTCTCTCGCCACCAAATTAATAAATGATGCAGCTTCGTTGGGATATTTATTTTAATCATGCTCTGCTTTCCAAAGGTAAACTGGCAAAATTAATTTTCAAATTTATCTTGATGCAGTGATGAATGATTCAAAGTTAAAATCCTGGGCACATTAGGGCTGGTCTCTACTGGAACTCATTCAACAGTGAGATGCAACCTCTCATTGCCAGCCCATAGATTTACAAAGAGGAACACAGACCATTTCAGCAGCGAAATCGGGCCATTCAGCCCAACCTATTTTTGCTAATGTTCGTCCTCCCATCCTATTTCATCTCAGCCCATCACCAGGTCATTCTTTCCCTTTCACCCTCTGAGCTTTGCCTTGTGTGTGTGACCCAACTTTTCATCACCATCACACCCTCCCCCCAGCACCCTAACCCCCACCCCCAGTGGTGATTTCATTTCCTAAGCACTGTCTGGGAAAATAAAGGTTCCAATCCAGTTTCCAGTTGGATTCACTCACTCTTAACTTGCAGAGGTGGAGACAAGTTTTGTACACCCCTACAAGTGGAAATATCTTCCCCACCCCTGTTCCAGCTTTACCTCATCTGAAAAGCCCTCAGTCCCTTTTCATGGGATACCTTGTACGAAACCATACCAATCTTCCAAACCCATGACCACTTTCATCTTGAAGGACAAGAGCAGCGTATATGTAGGATTACCATAGATCTACAGTGCGGAAGCATGTCATTCAGCCCATGGAGTCCACATTGACCATCCGAACAGCATCCCACTCCCTACCCTATCCCTGGAACCCTGCATATCCCATGGCTAATCCACATAGCCTACACATCACTGGACACTATAGAACAATGTAGCATGGCCAATCCACCTAATCTGCACATTTTTGGACCGTGGAAGGAAACCAGAGCACCCAGAGGAAATCCATGCAGACACAGGGAGAATGTGGAAACTCCACATGGACAGTCACCCAAGGCTGAAATCGAACCCAGGTCCCTGGCGCTGTGAGGCAGCCGTGCTAACCACTGAGGCACCATGCCACCTACTACCTACAAGTTGCCCTCCAAACCATTCATCATCCTGCCTTGGAAATATATCACCATTCCTTCACTGTCAAAATCCTGGAATATCCTCCCTAAGGGCATTGTGGTTCTACCTACAGCACACAGTTCACAGCAATTCAAGAAGGCATCTCGGTGCCACTTTCTCAAGGGGCAACAAGGGATAAATTCTGACCCAGCCAGTGACATCCTTGCCAAAAAAGCAAAAAGAATAATGATGCTCACAACTGACCGAGCTCACCAGCCTCACTGGTTATTGAACTAGAAATGGGCTTCCTCCAGCCCAATTCCTTGACTCTGTATTCAAGCTTCCAGGAACATGGTCTGGATTCAGTCCTTGAAGGTTAAATGGTCTTGGAAACCACAAACTCGTGCTGACTAACTTCAGGACAGTAGTTGGAGCTCAGGAAATAACATTTTCACTTGTGAGTCAGAAGGTCACAATCCAGAGGGCGGGCAT